CATTTCAGAAATGCATTCTAGTTTTTTTTCTAATATATTATTAGACTAAAAAAAGACATTTAAAAATATACATGTTTATTTAAAATACACAAAACTCAAACATTGATTCTTAAACAAACATACGTTTGAAATATTTCTGAAACATTTCTGAAATAATGTGTGATGTATGGGGAGGATAAGGATTTGTAGTAATTTTTAATAAATCCTCAAAGTAAAGCTTTTACGATTATTACAATTTGATCATTAAAAACAATTAGCAATGTTATTCTAACCTAACTTATCTAGGGATGAAAAACTTCATAAACTAAGATTCCACTCACTAGTGTACCTTAGAGTCTAATTATTTAATTACACTACCGTTAACGTTCTTGGTTCTCTTGAGTCTTCTTATTAGATTGGCATTGTTGAGGTGAATAACATCAACGTTCCCACGGAGCAGTCGTTGTTGGTGACTACTGGAAAATTTGAATATTGTATTTTCGCAGTCTCCATTTTAAGGTCCCTGTAAAGATCATTATTGCGACAGTACCAGGGTGCATCGATGATCTTCCTTAATACTTTATTCTGGAAACGATGAATAACTTGGATGTTACTTTTACTGGTACATTGACAAAGCTGGATACCATACGTCCATACGGGTTTAAATTATTTGACTGTAAAGGAGCAGTTAATTGTGTGCGGATAATTTGGAATTTTTTCCTAGCACCCAATACATTCTTCTGTATTTTATACCAAGCTCTTCGCGTTTTTTTTTTATATATACTTTCCAGCGAAGTCCAGCTTCAAGTTTCATACCCATATTTATTGCTTAAGTTGATATGGACAGATTTGCATTCATTCAGTTTTATTCGCCATCTTTTCGTCCAGGTGTTAATTTGGTCTATAGTTTTTGGCAATTTTCTATTAGCGTCTTCATGATTTTTTCCAACAGCCAGAATTAGAGTATCATCTGCAAATGTTACGATAGTATTGGGCTCAAGATTAGGAATATCTCTGGTATACAACGAATAGATTACTGGACCTAGTACACTACCTTGAGGTACTCCTGCATTAATTTCTCTTAGGTCGGAATAGGCTTCTTCCTATTTAATGGGAAAGTTTACCTGGCTTCGGTACCATTGTAACTTTTGACACCTTCCACATCTTTGGTACGTACTTTAGTTTAAGGAATGCATTGATAAGATTGGTCATTTTGACAATAGCTTTAAGTGGAAACATTTTTAAAATTTCCCGGGTAATGAGATCAAATCCAGAGACTTTTTTCGAATTTATATGTGTTTGAATTTCTATATAAACTTCTTGTGCTAATTCCATCCAGTCTTAAAGATCTTTACCATTATTCTATTGGAAGGTACTCTCTAAATCTAAATTATATTTATATATTATATTAGTTTAGGTAAATTTTCTTTTTTGAATACTATATCACTCAATGTGATAAGTATGATAGAATGGTCTGAGTTCATGTCCCATGATTCTTCTATACAGGGTTGGTATAAAGTATGGAACCAAGCAAATATCTTTAAAACGAAAAGGACGATATTTATGAAACTTTGCAGGCAAGTACAATGACGCATAACGCATCTAATGCCATATTTTCTGTTACTACTGTACTCCCGGTTTACTCCCGGTTTCACCGGAAATACCCTCAACTTTTTTAATTTAAAGTGGCCACCCTGTATATTTTTGCAGATTTAAAAAAATCTTGTACAACACTTTACGAATTTGGAATAACAAGATCTTTTAAAATCTGCAAAAATATAGAGGGTGTCCCCTTTAAATTAAAAAAGTTGAGGGTATTTCCGGTGAAACCGGAAGTACAGTAGTAACAAAAAATATGGCATCAGATGCGTTATGCATCATTGTACTTGCCTGCAAAGTTTCATAAATATCGTCCTTTTCGTTTTAAAGATATTTACTTGGTTCCATACTTTATCCCAACCCTGTAACCCTGTATGCATATAATTTGAGGAGATATTCTTGATTATAAAAAAATCTATGAGATGAGGAATTTTGTTTCAAATCTGTGGGCCAGTATGTAGGCTTTCCAGCTGACATTGTTTACAGTAATGTCTCCTCCCACTATGAATATGTATCCTTGGCTATCCAGAAAGTCAACGTATTGATGCTTCTTTAAACCATGTTTTAATATTAACTGGGTTCCTTTATAACTGCATTTTCACCTTTTGCTGCATTATCTGGATGGAGTGTACACTTTATATCCTTTAAATTTGATGAACGACAATTTTGTGAAATCAGAGAGATATAATTTTTTTCTAATTGTAGAAATGTGTGCAGCTCTTGTTGATGATGCAGCAGTCCATTTGCATTCCATTCAAAAATTCTAAGATGATTGGCCACTTTTAGCTTTAGGGATCACTACTTGAGCACGATGTTCCAAATTTGAAATGTGTTCATCCATCAAACTCAAATATATTTGACCAAAATGTAAAATACGTATTCGTATTATTTTTCTTTATTTTTAACCGACTTCACAAAAGGAGGAGGTTATCAATTCGTCGCGATATTTCTTTTTTTTATGTATATTCAGCGATTATTCTTTAACACGGTGTCCGATTTTAATAATTCTTTTTTTGTTAGAAAGGGGCTACATCAGGGGTGGTCCCATATAAATTTGGTCAAAATCTAATAATTGGGTCCATGAGAAAATCCTCAAACTCTTCATTTTTTATGTATGTTTAGTAATGCTTTACCACCTTGTTCGATTTATATGATTCTTTTTTGTTAGTAAGGGGATACCTCAGGGGTGGTCCCATATTAATTTGGATAAGATGTGGTGATGGCATCTGCACGTTTTTGAAGTCGGTTTTTTTAAATTTTTAATTTCTAATACTTGTATATTCTGGTCTCATGTTGATATAAATCCTTTCCAATTCTTGTAGTGATAAACTTTATATTCAACACTTTTTTGAACTATAATTTTATTTCAAAATATATTCGATTGTTTTGAAAATTAAAATTCGTTATTTATAAGGGCAAAAATTGCGCTCTTTGCGTCTACTTGGCAAGACTGTTTTGCATGTTCACATAGTAAGCAAAATCAGAGCTTTTTCGTAGTACCAGTTAAAAAAACCTGGTGGTACAAAAATCAGGCGGACAATTTTTAAAAAAGAAAATTCCTAACTGATATTGGTCACATTTGAGTTTAAAATTATTTCCCTTTTTACTGATAACAGTAATAGATCATCTAAGGATAATCAATATTGCCACGGTCCCCAATCTCATACTCCCAGTTAGTTGACTTTTTCACATTTTTAATTCGTCTGCTTTGAAAATAAAATTATTTTCTATAGTTCTTTCTAAGTATATAGTATTATGTTCATGACCTACAGTAGAAAAGTTTCGCTACAAACATTGATTTGAAGGTCAAAGTATACATTTTTCACCACTGTTTGCGTGCGATTGTTGATGGGAAATTAAAATAATTATACATAGATTGAGTTGCCTAAATATATCCAGGATTGTACATGTACAATATACACCCACTCTTTGTACTTTTATAATACAGATGTGAACCTTTTTTTTAATTCATAATGTTTTAAGAGTTAATAGATGATGATAAATAATAGTTGTTTTTCACCTTTAAATAAACTTAGGTACGTTTTTCATTGAGAGATTATTTTTGCTATCGGGTCGTTCTACTTTTTTAGCGCTACTCTTCTCTATTTGCGTGTATACATTTTGAAAATAAATGTATTAAATAAAAAAGACGAATGTAAAAAACACTAGTTCAGTAACCATATACATCAGACCTTGTGTCAGATCCGGTAATTCTGATTGTTTGCCAAGTTGTTTATGGTTTTGGTTCAAATAATAATAAGTTTTCGACCAAAAATCCAAAAAAGTCCAAAAAACCAAGAAATGTTCTCCTTTTCTTCAATTTTTGGCAAATTTTACCTTAAATGACTAGTTTTCGGTTAAAACTATGTCGTATGTTTTTAAATTACACTAAATTTGCTACAATTTAAATCCAGAACCGTCTCTGCGCACCCAATAAAGTTTCCAAAATACAGTTCCTCAAAATTAATTTTGTTGTTCTGTGACAATTTCGAACACGTAGGCCTATTTTCTTCGGGATACACCCCTCTCTTATATTCTAATGGACGTTGAAGAGGATTGAGGGTATCTATAGGATAACCTACCCAAACATTTTCCATATTTCTCAATGCTAGACCTGTTCTTTCTGTTACATTATCAAAGCCCTGTCTGAACGTTTTATGACCATAGAACCCTTCCCTTTCCTTCCATCAAAGTCAAAAATTCTGAAAAGGGCGATATTTATAAAGTAATACGCTGCTCCTCATGTGGGGATCTTATGACAAAATATGAATGTTTTAATTTCAATTAAAAAAAAAATTCATAATTAAAATATTATTAGTTGTAATTCGTCCTGGGCCTCATTTATAAACGTCCGTGAAGTTAGCTCTACTACTTTCGAATTTTGGATTTTTAAATATTGGAGAATTTATCTCTTTTTTGTCGTAAATTTGTCGTTTATTTCAAAAATGTGAGGAGCGATAACTTTTTTTCACGACAAATTTATGACAAAAAAGCGACAAATTATCCATGTAAAAAAAAATGTAATTTATGTTCAGTTTCGTAATTGGTAGTGCTAACTTTCCATCAAAATTAGTATTAACTGGGGTTTATTTCAAAAAGGGGACAAGCGACAATTTTTTTTACCACAAATTTACGACAAAAAGAGAACTGATCCATGTAAAAAAAAATAATTTATGCACATTTACTTGATTGGTAGTTCTAACTTTCTATCAAAATTAGCATTAACTGGGGTTTATTTAAAAAATAGAAGAAGCGATCAATTTACGACAAAAAAGTGAAAAATTATCCATATAAAAAAATAGTAATTTATCCTCACTATCGTGATTGATAGTGCTACTAACTTAACCGTGAAGTTAGCACTACCAGGTGTTATTTTGAAAAGGGGATTAACTGCTAAACCTAATTTAATGTTGCTTTTTTAGATTTCCAAAATGACTGACAACAGATCGCAATCTTTTATTGACCTCGACTCGAGGAGATTCTGCTGTAAAAGCTGACTGACAAAATGAGACTGAAAAAACGAAGAAAAGCTCAAGTGAGTGGATGGAGGGTGATGCGAAGATGTGTTATATTTTTTACTGCGATATGTATAATTCCTGTATTGTTGGTGCTGATGGTGGCTACCGATCGTTACCTGCAACCAGTTAGACGTCATACGACGTTTGTAGAACAGCAGGTGAGTGCTTGAGCTTTAATTTAAAGGTACGAAAATCTGCTTAATAAATTTTTGAAGGTTTCTTAATGGCCAAATATGTAATACCGTAGAATTAAATAAGTTTGAAATATTTTTCGAAATTGAATGATGAAATATCTCCCAGCTCTATTTTACATGCACTATATGTTCCGACAGTAGTAGAGAACCGTTCTGAATTTGTATGATTTAACTGTTCCAACCAAAATTCGTTGTTCCATCTGAAAATTGAATCAATAATAAACCGTTCTGAATGACTCTCTGATATGTTCTGGTATGCACACAGCGTCTTTATTAAGTGGTTTCTTATTTTTTTTTTTTTGGGTTGAGGTTATTTATTGCAAATGAGCAGTATTGTTTTCTAGTGTACAGTATTTATTTTTCACTAAATAACGGACAAATAGAAGAAACCAGAAACCATAGATAAATAAATAAAAATAAGAAACTGTTTCGGATCTGATATAGGCACAATAATTTATTGCGCGTGCTCAGAAATATAGTCCATTACTGAGTTACGAATTGTTCGAAATTCTTTGTTGAAACAACCTATTGACGTTTCTATCTTCTATTTCCCTCGCCTGTCAACTTTGACATTTTAACCAATCACATCGGAATTTACGTTATCGTTAGAACCAATCAGAACCAAATAAATCGACTATTTTTCACTGACTATCTCATATCGACTATCATTCATGGTGCTTAATATGCACCTATGTTGACAGCAACTCGCATACTTGACCTGAATATAAGTGCATTTTGGGACCGGAAAATTTTTCTGATAAGGAAAATCGAATTTTCCATGTGTTTATTCTACTCAACATCGATGTATCTTTCAACCCTCTTCGAGGCTTGTATGCGAAAATGGGGCACCTAAATCGGTCACTATCTTACGGTCTATTATTGTCAGAGTATAAGCTAACATTGCGTGGAACGTTTCAAAATTAACCGAAAATAAAAGTTTTTTTTAAGTTATATTGTTATGTATTTATTTATTTAAGTTACATCTAGGGCTCTAGAAATAATCTAAATAAATATAAATCGCCCTTAATAAATTGGCGCCTATTTATATTGTTACTAAATTTTTCATGTATTTTGCAATTTGTCTCGAAATAATTTTGTCATTAATAATCAAAAAATAGACTATATTCAGATTATTAATGACAAAATTAGATCTCGACAAATTGATATCAAACACTTTCAAAATTTAGATAAAATAAAAATGGTCGACTATTTATCAAAGTAACGAATGTTTAATTTAAAAATAGATTATTTATTAAAGACAGTTTATAATTTATTTATAACGTACTAATTAATTTATTTAATACTATTATAACTCACAATTCTAATTTATTTACTACAATTTATCTTTACTATACAAGATTTATATTGAAACTTAACTTCTAACGATAGAGTCGCGCTATTTATATAAAACCAGCTCTGCTCGAGTACATTGTCGACGCTCTAGACCTTAGATTAGGTAATAGAGCTCTTTCCTTGTCTAAGCTCTAGACTCTTTGGAAATTCTCCTCTATGAGCCAGCCGGCGCGCAACGATTTCTCTGGTAACTTCAAGAAGGAGTGTGTTTGTCTCTGTCCTGCGGTATCATAACATAGACGCAGCGGCGGCTTTGTAACGGCGAGAGGACCAAGGTCGGCTTTAGGTGGTTGCATGACATTACCTTTGATATGGGACCCCATTGTTAATTTCCGTTTCATTGCGTTACTATGGAAATGTTTTAATTTTGCTCTGGATCGTAAATTTTACATTAGAAATAAGTCAGTTGAACATACCACTATTTTGTATGCTTCTCTTTCTCAAATGTAACAGTAAATCCAAGAAATATTTTTTTTTATTTATAATTTCTGTTGTTTTACCCTTTTACCATCGACATTGATGTGGTTGAGGGACGAGTCTTGTTCGTGACTCGTAGCAAAATTCTCGTTGGTCTGGTTAACGGTGTCCATCTCCAGGTATTTGTGAAAGTCACGGTTGCTGATGTAACAAGGGGCATTAACTATTTCCCTTTTTTTTTTGGTATTGTTACTAGTCATGATTGATTAACAAATCTTATGAATTAATTATCTAAGAAGTCCTCATAAATTGTTTCTATAGGAAAGCAACAAGTTGTCGTGACGATTTATTACACTGTTTTATAGCACTAACATTAACTTTCACTGCAATAGCTCAAATGGCTTCTTCCTTTTGAGCCTTCTGTTGAGTGGAGATTTGTCCAGTAATTGCAACGCTTCATCGACACGTGGGAGTGGAGTCGACCCTCATGTTTCGCAGCAAACCTCTATTTCTTCTTCGACTGTTAGCATCTTCAGGTCTCTATGAAGATAATCGTTTCGATAGAACCAAGGTACATCAACGGCGCATCGTAGAATTTTATTTTGGAAAACTTGTATCATCTTGATATTACTCTTGCTGGTACATCCCCATAGCTGTATGCCATAAATCCAGAGATTTGTTTATAAAACAGCAGTTTGTTGTACACTGACAACTCGGATTTTCTTCCTAGGAGCCAATAATTTTTTTTTGAATTTATGTTCCAGTTCTTTACGCTTTTTTTATGTATTCTTTCCATTTAAGACTTGCATCTAGGTTAATCTCTAGGTATTTGGCCAGAGCGAATAATCAGTATCTTTATTTTCTGTTAATCCTGCTGGGTATATGTTAAATGATTTTTCTTTGTGATTTAGAATTTCTTTTCTCAGATTTTGGGTAGCCCTATTTAATATATTGTTACGCTGGTTTTTGGTATCTCAATTTATTTCAACTCAACTTTTACAATATTTCAGCTTCTGGAATCTTCCCGAAACGTCCAGATGTTTCAAGACGTGGAATGACATTTCTAGACATTTCTCGAATATTCTCCATCTTCTTTTTTACTCGCACCTTTACTTATGACGACCGTAGCACACTGTAGGGTGATGGGTATGTTTTCTTGTTTTTCTACCAGTTCTCTTATCTCGACAGGATAGCTTTTCCAGTTGTTACTCATCTTACTGTTAGTGTGTTCCTCCATGCAGATTACTGGATTTTCAACTACAAACTTTTCCAGTTCTTCATCTAGCTGAATTTTTGTTTTTTTGGTATTATGGTCAGTTGAATAGTCCTCTTAAAAACCTTCCCAATTAGCTTTCCGATTTGCTAGGATCGCTTTTGCTTCTTTCTGAATAACATTATCACTTAAAGTAAGGATTACCTCAAATTGGTTTGAATCCAGATCAAAATTTTCTTCTACTTGTGTATAGTTTGGTGAAATATTTGGGTCGATGGACTAATAGGTGGGGTTTTCAGAAGATTGGTATGTACATCCAACTTTTAATGCAGCTCGGCGCAATTCTTTTCCTTTGGCTGTGGTTAATCTTGAACCCCAGATGGTATTTTTGGAGTTGTAATCTCTACCGATTATAAATTTGTTATCTTGTTTTTGAGTAAATTAAGATAATTTTCTTTTTTCTGGTTGTGTCTTGGTAGGCAGATTGCTGCTATTGTAATGTTGCCCCCTTTGTGTTAATAGTTGCCTGATATTCTGGTTCTTGGATGCCTGGTTCCTCATATTGGGAATGTAATTTTTAATAATTAACGCACTTTCTCCTGTTGTTGCATCTGATGGGTGGACAATGTGATAGAAGTTATGTCCTCTGAATTTATTGTAAGACTCCGTTGTGAAGATGGTTCTCAGAAATCAGACATATATCTATTTTTTGTACGTCCAAGAAAACTTGGATAAACTATTTCCAAAGTATTTTATTCTGGAAGCGCTGTATTATTTCCATGTTATTGGCACATCCCCACAGCTGGATGCCTTATGTCCACATGTTTATGTATGAGTAATTTATTGTAATTTGACACCCAATACATTTTTTAGTATTTTATTCCTAGAACTCCTTTTTTTACGTGGGCTCTCCTCTCCAGGAGTATTACCTAAATATTGTGCTATATCCGCGTAAGGTAATTGGGTATTATTATTACTATTATCTTATAGCAGAACAAAATTTTTTCTTCTATGTGTTTTAATATTTTCAGGAATATTTTTGCAAACACCTAGCTTAGAAATTACAGGAAGTAATGGTGATGAATTGATGTAGATTTTGTTTTTGATTTATTTTTTTTTTTGAAATTTTTTCTATTTCTAAATACTTAAACCTATTATAACTTTTCACTTAAATGCATATCAAATAATCCTTGTATACCTACAAAATAGTTATTCGTTAGTAATTATTATTTGAGACAAAAGCATTTTTAAGTATGTAATACACGTTCCCTTGTATTATAATAATATGTGTGTTACATTTCTTATTATAAATTTACATTATGAAATAAAAACAACAAGTCCAAATTCGTTGTAGATGCCAGGAGTTAAAAAAAAATCGCTTCATCACTTAATTTTCGAATTTCATCACATATATTGGCTAGTATTCAATTCAGACGTTACGTCATCGTGTTCCTATTTTGTATTCGCCTTTTTTTAATTACTAGACAGGAAGAATGTCCGCTACTAATATTAAACGTTTGCTAATTTTAGTCTTTAGTCCAGGCTTGTTAAAAAAAAAACACTTCTGAAAATTCGTATTTAATTTTTTTTATATCAGTAACGTTTTTCTAAATTCATGATTCGCCTCTAACCTTATCTATACAATAAGTAGGTAATCGAAATGTATCGTATTGCATTCATCTGCTAAATTTTAATCATTTAATTATTTCAGTAACACGCTATTCCCAGTGATAAATACATTTATATAGTACACACCTGCAAAAATATTTATTCCAATCCTCATTAATTTAACGTTAATGTATTGTATGTCTAACAAAAAATAGAAATATTTTTCATGGTTGCACAGAGGTTCTCAAAAATTAACACACAATTGCGGAAATAATAGAGTGGTAGGCTTGAAATAAATAGACAAATCAAACCGATATCATGCTGAAGCTGTTTTGAGCGCAATCCTCAGGTTAGAAATTTGCTGGATACCGCC